GTTTCTGCTGTGGCTGGAAGCACCTCCGACAAGCAATTTGTGGAATTGCTAAAAGCAGCTCAGTCTCATTTTGTTTTATGGTTTCCACATCACAAAATCTTCTTCCTTTCAAGGTGTTCTTTAGTTGAGGGAAGATATTCACCTGATATGGCCCCATGTGACCCTCAACTAAAGAAAACTTTAGGGTCGCGTGGGGCCACATCAGGTAAATATGGAGGCTGCGGCACTTGTGGGATACCGTGTGACTTTTTTCTCTTCCCTCGACTAAAGAAAACCTTGAAAGGAAGAAGATTTTGTGATGTGGAAACCATAAAACAAAATGGGACCAAGTCGCTTTTAGCGATTCCACAAATTCTTATTGGAGGTGCTTCCAACAATGGCAGAAACGTTGGGAGAAGCGCGTGGCTGCAGAAGGAGCATGCTTCGAAGGAGATTAAGCCAAAACCCCTGTAAATAAAATACTCTGTTTCCTACAGCATCAGTCTCGATACTTTTTGAACAGCCCTCGTTCGTGTGTGTGTGTGTGTGTGTGTGTGTGTGTGTGTGTGTGTGTGTGTATGCACACACACATTATTATTATTTTTTAAAGATGTGTGTGTATATATGTATATATGTGCGATATATATATATATACACACGTGCATACATACACACACAAGCACACATACTATTTTTAAAGATATATATACACACACGCATTTGTACATGCGCACACATTATATTATTATTATTTTTAAAAGATATACGCGCACACGCACATATTTTTTATTATTATTATTATGTTTTTCAAGATTCTGTCAGGTGTAAGAAATCCCTGGGTGGCCACTAAGGGAAAATTGTGATTGAGGCAGTACATATCAAAGAGGCACATGGCAGGGGGAGTATCTCTCATTCAGCCTGGGGGTGTGTATTATTCTTCCATTTTGCTTGCTTGCAGGGGGAGGGGGACGGGAGCAGGGAGGCTTCAGATCCGGCTGATTGTTAAACTCCTTGCCGGTGTGATGTAATCAGTCTGTTCCGTATCCTCAAACCGCTCCTTTAACCACAAACTTTCCAAAAAAAATGGCTTGCTAAGTTTGGGAGTCCACAGGATGTTTGTTTTGTTGGAAGATGCGAGGTCTCTTCCTCCCCTGGGACAGCCCAGCAGTCAGCCTTGGAAGCTTATTATAATGTCGCGCTTCCCCTGCTGTTTTCCAGCCTCACGCTTTAATTATTAAGGAAATCTCCTCTCTTTGGTCTAGACCGGAATCCTTTGCATCCAGGAATCGTTGTAAACGTGGTCCCTAGGAATGATTCACAGCTCTGTGTAAACAGCAATTAGCAAGGCATTGTTATGCTTACTAGACATTTTGGAGCACAAACGAGAACGAATCCCATGAGAAACTTTTATTAGAAGGAGGCGATGTTTGGTGTTGCACCAAATGCCCAATTCAGAAGGACCGAGGGTGATGAGGTTTACCTCAGTCATTGGGTTGGTCATGGTGGAGATAGATTTTACTGTAGATCCTGCTGTACTTAAGAATCAAGACATCTTTTTCCTGGGTGTGGAACAGATAAGAGAGCCCAAGCGCCAGCGAGTTGCCTCCCAGGCCTGTGAAAGGAAAAAGCAGATGAGGAAATAGGAGATGAGAAGAGCTGAGGGCAGAGGTATCCAAAGGGATTCTCAGTGCCCTGTAGTTCCCGTTTGACAGCCGTCATCACGGCAGAGGTCAAGCCTTACAGAGAGGGGTCTGCTGGCTATATTGTATTGCATGGAGAGGTGTGATGTGCCCGTCCCCCAGTGAGTGCATCTAGCATTTCCAGCACGTGGGAATTCAAGTAAAAAGTGGGTTGTAAGGAAAAAAAATGAAGCACTGACTTAAGGGACAGAAAGTCCAGAGCCAACAGGGGAGTGGAAGATAGAAGACCAGAGGGCAGAATAGCAGGGACTAGAGCTGCAAAGACTTTTGCTGCAGCAGAAAGACAATCCTGAGTGACTGATGGAAAATTTACAGGTATGGACCCTCTGAGAGAGACTCAGGATAAGCTTAGGCTGCAGTGAGCAGCAGAGCATGCATCATCTTGAAGCTAAGGAGTTTAGGACATGCCGTTAAGAAGCAGCCAGGGGATGGTGGTATGTGGATGGATGTGCTGGGCACAGAGGGGAGGCTCTTGGCATTTCCAGCTTTATGTATAAACTCCTTGCTTGTATTCCTGCTGGTCCCTGGGCTTAGGGAGAGCAATCAGTGAAGGTTTGAGGTGTGCCCTGCCGAGCAGTTTCTCAGGGGCAGCGTTTGCCAAAATGTGTCATTGAGGCAAAGCCAGCCTTTGGCATCCCGGCACCAGCACTTGCGGTTGTGTTCAGCATTCGACACAGACTTGTCTCATGGTCAGAAAGGAAGCGAGGAATTTGGCATCCATATGTCATGAGTCAGTTTCGACATCGGCATGAACCGGGTATGAGGAAGGATTCTGCGGAGCGTGGTGGCTGGGCTCCAGCATCCTGATGCAGGGACAGGCATGAGCAATCCGCTGCCAGGCCTTGGTCACACTCTAATTGGAGGGGAGGCTGCCTTGGATTTCCTGCCTTCCTGTTGAATCAGTCCCCAGTGGGAGGCATTTTCCTTCCTCGCTGAGGTGCAGGTCCATCCCACGGCGTATATGTACAGTGTTTGGGGGTGGCAGCTCACTCATCCCAGCAGCCCTTCTCCTCAGTGACCTCCAGCTGTTTGCCATCTGCTTTTTTCCAGGTGTTGACCAATCTGATGATTGGTGACGCTTAATCATGGCTGCACCCCGGTTTCATATGGCAATTTAATGGGCTTGATGGGATCAAAGTGGGTTTCATGGCAAAATGATTGTAGGTTAGTTTTTCTGCAGGTGGATTTTCTGTTTCTTAATTAAGCATTCAAATGTGACTCAGCACCAGAAAGGGTGAAGAAATAGTGTTGCAGAGGTGTTTTACTTTTCCACATCACTCTCTATTGTTTGAGTTTTGTTAGTGTTTGTATTTTTCTTTTGTCAAGCCTCCTGTATGGACTCTTCTCATCTGCTACATAATTATAATTCCCAGCGTCAAATATTTGCTGAAGAAAAGCAAGCCTAATTATGTATATAGTTATCGTTGAACTCGCTCGCTCCCAGTGATTATAGTAATCCTCTTCATAAATACACACGTGCTGGATCTGTAGCAGTTTGGTGACTTACACCTAATGTGTTCTGGGTGTTGAATTTTTCTGAGATTCAGAATCTTTCTGCTGCCAAAGCCCCAAAAGTAAGCCAGTCAGAGATGGTAGTGCTGTGATTTTAGCCCCTTTCTGATCCAGTAAGACAACAGTTGCTGCAGATGCACCCCTCTAGTGTGTCTGGTCCCCTGCACGCAGAGTTTGAAATCTCTGGTTCGCTAATGTTGGTTCACTCTGTAAATAAGACCTAGTTTGATTAAAAAATCATGTTTTCATAAGTTATGAGTAATTCCCACAATGTGCCTGCTTGCATCTGAGCAATCCCAGCAGATGTCAGCCGAGAACCGTTGCTGAGAAGGGAAGGATCTGGGGTGAGGGGAGGTTGTGGAAAACTTAGATCATAGAGAATTAAGGCTGAAAAGGACCTCAGGAGATCATCCAATCCAACCAGGGATTGAACGTGTGATCTTTATGAGATCTGGACTGACAGACAGGTTCTGCAGAAGAAATGCCACAAATCATTGGTTCCATGGCAGCATCTTTGTGCATCTGCTCCTATCTGGTGGGAAGGTAAATGGGGCATCTCACCCAGGGCTGGGTTAACCCTTTGGTGGGCCCTAGTGAAACAAACTCATGGGCCCCTACTTAATACTGTATATAATCTTTTTCTACTCAATAATTATAATATGTAAAATAAGCGCACCTGGGCCCCTTTTTCACTTAGGGCCCTAGGCCTGTCCCTAATTTGCCTATGCATTAATCCAGCCCTGATCTCACCCTCGGGGTAAAAATTACTAATTCACTAAGTTTTACCTTCCATTTACCTCCAGATAGGAGTGGACACATGAAGCGGGGCAGCTCGAGTGCAGCCTGTTCTTCCCCTTAACACCATATAATTTGTTCATCTCTCCGTGCCCTCGGAGCACCACACGCAGCACAAAGTGGAAATGGGGCCCGTTAGCAGAACCAGGACCTGCTTGTAAATGTGTTCTTCCATTTGGGTCAGAGGCCTGGCATTTTCCAATGATTACTGGGCAGGAGGCTTGCAACAGCGAGTTGAGGACGCTCTGTGTGCTTGGACTGACTGTATTTCGGTTTTACCTTTACCAAATATCATAACCAGAATGTGCCACAGCCTTCAAGCGGCTTTTGTATCTCTTTCTCTGGAGGCAGCTTATGACGTCAGCCCCTTACAGATGTACAAGGAGTAAACGAATGCTGTCCGTGTTGCTTTATGTGTTACCAGCCTTGGTGGGGGAAACATGGAACCTGGTCCTTTTTAAGTAAAGTAATGAAGAAGGGGAATTGCTTGCAATTGTTTTGCAGTGCAGCAATCTGTAACGTCAGGCTCTGTAGGCAGGGCATTCGGTAGTGTTTGTCCTGGGCACTCTTTGCAACTACTTGGAGTCTTCAGGGATTTAATTTGTAGCAAATTTTGAACAGATTTCCCTTTTGTTCTCTGAAAAGAAAAAGAGATGGCTCCTTTGATGCCTGAACCAAGTTACTGGCAAAGCAGCAAACAGGTACGAGAGTAAGTTTAGCAGGGGGGGAGAGAGAGAAGTGGCTTTCCCTCTCCACCGTGTCTTTGGGAGGCAGGGAAGGTACCTGCTACAGGAAAAAATGTGGGAGCCCTGCTGGACAAAGCTTTGGTATGAGCGCGCTCTGTGTACAGCATCAGATTTGAATTAAGGAAGTGTCTAGTTGAGCCCCTCCATCCGTGCACATGAGGACCCCAGATGGCAAGAAATGCCATAACTTAAACACCCATCGTGGGTGGAGAAAGCAGATGGCTTTGATCAGCAAGAATGAACCTGTTTCTTTCCCTCTCTCCTACAGAAGCTCTTCAGAGGCCAGTTGTGTCAGATTTTGAACCCCAAGGTCTGAGCGAAGCAGCCCGCTGGAACTCCAAGGAAAACCTCCTGTCTGGTCCCAGTGAAAATGACCCCAACCTTTTTGTTGCACTGTATGATTTTGTAGCGAGTGGGGACAACACTCTTAGCATAACTAAAGGTAAGAGATCTGCAAGGAGTGGTTTGGGGCATGGGGGGGGAGAACAAATGAGAGAGAACTCTTGGGAACAGCTGAGTTATAATAGTCCGTGTGCAAAACCAAGCACGGTCTTTTTGGAGTGGAAATTGTCCTGAAGCAAAGAGAAGCCTTTCAGGAGGAAAGACCCTTTTCAGAGAAGCAGTCTGCATCAGGTATATGTTGGGGGAGTGGGGGGAACTGATACCAAAACCGAGCCAAATAGCTGGAACAAAGACAAACCCTGGTGGAGCTGTCACAAGCTTTAAAGTGCAGTCTCTCGCTGTACAACTGGGTTTCATTACGATGTAGCTCTTCCCTGAAAAATGACTGGATAAAAATAGCTCCTTCTTACTTGCTAGCTCTGTTTCTGGGATGTACTCAGGAGCCATATCTGCTTCCTTGGCTAATCGGAACAAGTTTCTGCTATATTTTCCCCCTCTCTTGTTACAGCCTTGCGGAGCCAGCGCAGGTACTTTGCTGGATTCTGTTCCAGCTCGAACATTATCAACAGAAATGTTCACTTCAGGTTTCAGTCCACCAAAAGGCTTAACTTTGAAACCATGTCACATTGAACATGTGACTAATCCCATTGGTTTTGAAGCTGTTCATGCCTGAAGACGCATGTTGAGCATCCTTGTCAAATTAGTGCGTCTGGTCCGATTGCAGAATCTCGGAGAATGCGTGGACCAGAAAGACCCCGGCTTGACCATATTCCATATGTAATTATTCTGTTGTTGTCGTGCTAAGGTGAAAAGCTCCGTGTCTTGGGCTACAATCATAATGGGGAATGGTGCGAGGCCCAAACGAAGAATGGCCAAGGCTGGGTGCCAAGCAACTACATCACCCCTGTGAACAGCTTGGAGAAGCATTCCTGGTACCATGGCCCTGTGTCTCGCAACGCTGCTGAATACCTGCTGAGCAGTGGCATCAATGGCAGCTTCCTGGTGCGCGAGAGTGAGAGCAGCCCAGGACAGAGGTCCATATCACTGAGATACGAGGGAAGGGTGTACCACTACCGGATAAACACTGCATCTGATGGAAAGGTAGGTGTTAAACCTCCCCACGTGCTGTAGAAGGGCTCAATATTGCTCCCATTGAAGTCTTATGGTTGTTTTGCCATTGAGTTCAGTGGAAAAAAAATTGGATTCTAAGCACCAGCCTTCAGCACCTAAACAAAGAGCATTCCAGATATCCCACTAGATAGCACTGGAGCAGAGCTGTGGGGAAATAAGTGCACACCTCTAGCAAGGTCCTTAAATAAAGGTAGGATGGGTTGGGGGGGTCAAAGAATCAAAATGTGAAAATAAGTTCTTTGCATGGGGATATCAAACCCCAGGAACTCCTGAGGGCAAGTAGCCCTAAGCTGCTGGCCAGGG